GTTGTTGTCGATTCTATTAGTTGTGACGGTGAAGACGGATGATTGTGGTAGAATAGTAATCGACACAAAAATATTTTGAATATTATAATCAGAAGTTTTATAGTGAAATTTCACCTATAAAATTTATTTTATTTTACGATATAATTAAGAGAAACTAAAATTTATTGAATTAACATAGTCATTTAGCTCTTAGCAGGGTGTAGGGGCCTGGAGTCATTGTGACCTATCACGAGAACAAGATGCTTCCTTTATTGCCTGTTTGTATGTTCCCCCTAGTCATACAATTCATCTTCTCCATTAATGCATGTCTATATATATATGTTTGTGGGGGTTGGGGGGTCATTTGCTCTATTTTTTTCTTTATGATGTGCCCTCCTTATATATGAAAATTAAATGTTACTCCATATTTGTCGGAACAATTTTTTGTTTAATTACACGGGATTATATAAATTTAAAATATTCTACTCTATTCAACGACAACATATCTAGTATAAGACACGATTGATTGATTGTAATATTAAATAGATGTAAGTTTTGATATATAGTATTAATATTGATTTAGTTGATCAAAGTTCAATTGACAAGTATCTTTTTCATACCCTATATGACATGTAAAGATTAGTTGTAGACTTGTAGTACAATAAGTTTGGCTTCGATTTCTCAATTGTCTACACATTTATTCCTCATACATAGCGTCCCTCATGTCACGTCAATATATGTACACTTACATATTTCACATAATTTTTGAAAATGTATAGAGCATTTAATTTTTGTAGATTCCTATTTTTTTTATATACTTCTTGTATAGTACGTATGCTTCTTTTGCGTTACTCTCCTTTTAATTAAAATTGTTACGTTATCGAAAAAAAAAAAGATCCATAAGATTTGTCTGTTCACAGAAAGTCAAGTACTAGTGTGCCTTAATTGCTTGACCTTGATTTCTCAGTCTTTCTATGCATATTTCAACTGAATTCAATGCGCATTGCATTTTTTTTTTGATAGTCGAGAAATTCGTCTGATATCAAACTTTCGAATCAATCACAAATTTCGAAATTCAGAAATAGTAGGCCCATTGAACTTAGTTTGCATGAGCAATACTTGAACTCGTCCAAGTCACGAGTTAATTTTTATCATTTAGAACTGAGATGCGAAGTATTACTTACATTGCATTATTATATAAGATTGGAGCCACTTTATCACTCTAATTTACTCTCCTCACTCCTTAATAATACTTCGATTTTATAATTATTTGATTCATATTTGGTTAAAGATATATTTTACTAATCTATGTTTTGAGTTGCAAAGACTACTAGAAAATATAGTATGACTATAAAAAGTGTGTTGTTATTATTTTTCACTCGGTGACTGGTTAGAACCGCTCCTAATAAAGGGGCTCTAACTCGAGATCTCTTGGTTAAAGACGAAGGAGTACTTGCTACTCCGCCATGGTTTCCTTTACTAGTGTCAAATGAAAATGACGTAGATTAACATGTTACAATGTATTTTTTTGTTATATTGATATGCAAAAAATTGAAATATATAGTACTTTAAATAACTAAATTTTTTGTTTAAAATATTAAATTAATATAATCTAATTTAACTTTAAAATTAATAAACTTGACGTTAGAAAAGCACAACTCAACAAATAAAAATGGGCGAAGGGAGTTATCTACTTTTGACTTTACACATTTCTTAAAAAACTATAAATAGAAAGGTATTGCCACCTCTATCCACTTTTAATTGTCACAGATTTCTTTTGTAGAGCCAAACGAAAATCATTTTATTAAGATATATTTTTTCATCATATTGACACGTACAAAACTGAAATTTATAGTACTTTTTCATATAGTTTTTTAATATCTAAAATTTTTATTTAAAAACACTGAATTAATGTAATTTAATTTAACTTTAAAAATTAGTCAATTGACTTTTGAAAAATAGAACATGACAATAAAAAGTGGACAAATGAAGTATACAGTATTACCCATTGAATGTAATAAATATAACGTCTTGAGAAATTTAAGTAGGAAAATAACTATGATTAACAATAAGAATAAATTAAAAACTAAGGGGGCGTTTGGTATAAAAATGAATAATGCAGGGATTAATAATGTAGGGATTAACAATGCAGGGATTAGCAATGCAGGGATTAGTAATGCAGGGATTATTTTTATCAAGTGTTTGGTTCATTGTTTCTTATCTAATTTTGTCTGTGGTTTAATTGTTTTTTTTAAAAAAAAACTTTTCAATTATACCCTAGAGTTATTATGAGATTTTGTATTTCATGTAATTGAGTCAAAATAGATAATTAACGGAGAATATTATTTTTTTTATAACATTTTTAACTAGTTAGGAGAATAAAAATTTTATTGTCATGTTCACTATTTTCTCACTTAAATTATTTGAGAGTAAATGATTGTCATCTTAATAAATTAGAGTTAATAACTCAAAAGGTCACACAACTATAATGATTATAGAGAAAATTTATTGAACTTTGTTTTGTATCAATAAATTTTAAAAAACTCTTTATCATAAAATAAAATAAAAATATAAAATAAATATAGAAAAATAAATTAAACTATTTTTATACCCGAGATGTGTGTGTATATATATATACACACTCTTGTTTTATACTACTTGTGTAATGTTTAATGAACTTTCATTAAGAGACAATATTTTAATTATGAATTGTTCTTAAATTCATACATCAACATTAACATATTAGTCGGATTATAATATTTTATATTAATAATAAATAGATTAAGTAATTTATATTTTAGAAACAAAAAATTATATATAAATAATAAAAGTTGTAAGCTAATTTATTTAAACAACTTTATTAGTATAAATATAAAAAATATAAAATCAAAAAAATAAATTAAATATTAAAAGGATTTGAGGGGTATTTTTGTCTTTACCTAGAATAGTCCATGGTATTAGAGCTAATACCTCCAAATGGAAGGTATTAGCAATACATCACATAATACCATGTAGGATGTATTAACTAATCCATGGATTAGTTATACATAGGCTCACATTCCTACCAAACACAGTATTAAATTATACCACATCTAATACATGGATTATTTATTTTAATACATCCTACCAAACGCCTCCTAAGTGTAAAATTATCTATTAATTTCATAAAGTGAATAAGTTTGTTAAACATTCCAAAATATTATAGTTAACAACTATTATTGAAAGGACGGAGTAAGAAAACTGTCGTGTTGATGTAATAAAACTCTTGTGATTTGCTAAGTTGACAAGTACTTCCTCCATTTACTTTTACACCATATGTCTTTAATTATTTGTTTATTTTTGAACTAATACATCTATTAATGAAACAATTTCGTTTATTATTTTACCCTTAAAATTTTTAAGAAGTTTTACCTTTTTTAAAAATAATTAATTGAGTATATAAGAGGTAAAAGATAATTATTTTTTTATTTATTTTAACAAAATAAAAAAAATTAGACAAATAATTAAAAACAAAGAGAATAATACTCTAGTAGTTCATAAGAGTGTTTTATGTTAACTAATACCTATAGAAATTGATGTTAAGTGTTAAATTTTAGAAAATAAATAATTAATACAAAGAGGAAAACATGAATTCTTTTTATCTTTTGTGATATATATGGAAGTAACAAATAAATGTAAAAATTTATATTTGAAATAGCAAACAAGTAAAAATAAACATAAAATATCCATTTGTGAGATATGAGTCAAAGTAAAATAAAAGAAGGGAAAATTACGCGGACAAACAAACTTATACTATTTAATTATTCATCATAGCGATAGTTTACTATAATTATCACTCGCGACTAACATTATGCATTAATTACGTGGGATGACTTCGAGTTTGTATAATTAGTCATATTTGTATATGTATAATTCGCCAAGATATACAAATAAATATGTATAATATACAATTTTTTAACCTATATACATATACAATTCACCTCTCTCCTCCCTCTCTGCGCTCTCTCGCTCGCCTCTCTCCTCCCTCTCTCAATCTCGTTCACCTCCCTCCTCCCTCTCCTAATCTCGCTTGCCATTTATACAAATGTATATGTATAATATACAGTTACATACAATTATATACATACACAATTCACTTCTCTCCCACTCTATGCCCTCTCTCGCTCGCCTCTCTCAATCTCGCTCGCCTCTCTTCTCTGTCTCCCAGTCTCGCTCGCCTCTCTCCTCCCTCTCCCAATCTATTTTGCCATATATACAATTACATATATATAATATACAATTATCTAATCAATATACATATACAATTCACCTTTCTTCCACTCTTTCCCCCCCCCCCCCCCCCCCCTCTCCTCTCTCTCCCAGTCTCGCTTGCCTCTCTCTCCCAATCTTGCTACCTCTCTCCTCCAAATAATGTATAGCTACAAATTGAAATTATCAAACTATAACTATAAAGAGTAATTGATTATTTTTAAGTGATTATACGTGAAAGTTTCTAAGAAAGAATTGAGCAACTATGTTTACTTATATGCTGAAATTGAATAGCGAAAACCTCAAGAGTTTGAAAAAGGTAAGAAAGAGGGCATGCATTTAATGCAATTTTCTTGTTCTATTACGTCAATCATTCAATTTTTTTTCCTATTTTTTAATGGTTACATTTGATCAGTACCCACATTTTGTGGCTTCGCACAGTATTTTATATTATTTTTACATGGTTAAAATAATATTTTTTAGATATATATAGTAGATGTCGAATTTCCTTCGGCTATTTCGTATGTCTATTTCTTCATATTTTGAACTTCCTTATCAAAAATTCTAGCTCACCTCTGCCCACGTTAGAGTCGTTTATATCTGAATATGCGCCAGAAAGTCTCACATTAGAAGGTGCAATAGTCCAAAGTGAGTCGAATGTGAGATTCCTAGGTTAAAGATGAAGTAGTACTTACCACTTTATCATAATCTTTGTCGGTGTAAACAGTAGTATATGTGTAAGCACATCATATCATATCATGTCATTTAATATGTAGCCGGCTATGGAGTTGCTGATACTTCTTACACTCTATCTACTGTCCTACTCCATTTGATAGGTCAATTTTCTTTCTCTTTATTTACTTTTCCCTCTCCTAGGAACACTCATCTCCTCTTTAATATTTTTACTTAAAAGTTAAAAAACTTGACTTTTTGTTGATCATAGATTTTAGTGTGTGTGTGTGTATGAAAGAGAGGAATGGGGAGAACACCATGTTGTGATAAAAATGGTCTAACTAGAGGACCTTGGACCCCTGAAGAAGATGAAAAACTTGTTCAGTTTATCAACAAGAATGGTCATGGTAGTTGGCGGTCACTCCCAAAACTTGCAGGTCTACTTCACTACTCTTCTCATCTTCCATGTTTTTCGACATTTTTGAAGAGTCTGAGCAACATAGTTTTTAACCATTTTGCCCCCTACCTCAATGAGTAACAGGGGATTAGTGTTATTTTTTATTCAGTTTAATGACATTAATATTTGTTTTCTAGTTTATGGTTTTATTGGCTTTGGTGAACTCTACAATGTTATAAATTTCATTTATTTGTTGTTATAAAAGAGAAGGGGTACTTTGATGTTTTCCTTCTTTTGGTGTGAAAGAAATCAATTTACTCTCTGATGAGCATTAATGTTCTTCCAATTTTTCATGTGATACTAATATGGAAAAGTGATAGTTTTACTCTGAGTTCAGTTTTCTGTTTTACAAAGTGACATAAATTACCCTTTCCAATTCACCTGTACTTCAATGTGATGTTCTACTTTTACCTCTAATCAGCAAAATAGTTAAAATTTTCTTTCTCCTTTTTTCTCTTCACTTAATGTCAAATTGGGAACTCAGTAAATATGTTAAACTAGTGGGAATTGTTCCTTGTTTAAGGCTGCCTTTGGTCTTTGTTTCTCTTCTCCATGTGTACACTATGAATGTTGAGCTAATCAATCGATAATTTATCGAAAGACACTTAGAATGTTGGGCTCAACACATATCCTCTAATGTGGAAATGAGCCAATGGTCTATGTTGGTGCCAAATGTTTTCCGAGTGAACTAGCCTCGATGCGGTGCTGGTTCACTGTTTCCAGCCTATTCACAGTTTTCTGACTAATACCATAGTTCTTTAGTTATTGTAATCAGCTTGAGCAGCTGGTATTGTGTTAATGACTAAGGCTGTTAGTAGGAGAGTTTAGAATGATGGACTAATAGAATAAAATGGTAGCATTGGTCTCTATGGACTATGGTATCATAACCTCATAGTTTGCCTGATTTCTTGTCAACTGTTTTCCACTTTTTCACAATCAGGCCTTCTTCGTTGTGGGAAAAGTTGTCGTCTCAGATGGACGAATTATCTAAGGCCAGACATCATACGAGGTCCTTTTAGTCCCGAAGAACAGAAGCTTGTCATACAGTTACATGGCATTCTTGGAAACAGGTTAGTTTTTGCCTTGTGTAGTTGCATGCTTAACTTCTAGTATTTCTTGGTACTCGTTTTCGTAGTGTAGAAAACACATGAATAGTCATTAGTATGTGTATCTAGATGGGCTGCAATTGCTTCACAATTACCTGGGAGGACAGACAATGAGATAAAGAATCTGTGGAATACTCACCTGAAGAAGCGCCTGCTTTCCATGGGCATTGATCCTCAGACTCATGAACAGTACTCTGACCCCAATGGACTGCTGAGAAGACCAGCTACCTCACCTTCTGCGCGTCACTTGGCTCAATGGGAAAGTGCTAGGCTCGAAGCTGAGGCTCGTCTTTCCAGAGAGTCACAATTCTTGGTTCCATCATCAGTTGGAAGGTCTGAGACTGACTATTTTCTGCGCATATGGAACTCAGAGATAGGTGAGTCATTTAGGAAATTCAAGAAAGGAGAAAAAAATGCTTGTCAAAGTCCAACCTCTCAAGCATCCACATGTACAAAGTATGGATCAGCTTCAGGCATTACGACTGAGTTTGAACTCGGTGTTGCTGGTTCACCAGTGACAGGAAGCAACCAACATGAATATAAAGAGTGGAAAATTGGCCAACCATACACAGAAGATTTCTTGCAAGGATCAGACACGTCTAGCTCCAACGCCATGGAAGATTCATCTGAATCAGCATTGCAACTTCTTTTGGATTTCCCTAGTAACAATGACATGAGCTTTCTTGGACATAGTGATTCCTATAGTTTGTATCCCTTTTTGAGTGAAAGCTCATGATCTGCCCTTCACCAGAATATGCAGTGTGCTTCTTTCTCTGATATCAGTAGCTCCGAAACGTCGATTTTCAAAAAAATTCTGCTGGTTATTTTTGTAGCTCCAGCTGTGGAAAGAACACATATTCTAACTCTACTATATATTAATGTCATATTAATAGGGCTATCTCAGTTCCATCAGAGGAAAAGACAAATGCAGTTTCCCTCTATATTTTGTAATAGCAATAGTACTATAATGCATGATATTTTCTAATAGAAATTCAGGACTATATTTTCTTTCTATATAAGTCATGCTTACATATTACAGTTCTTATTTTTTTGGCCAACCTGAATAGCAGCAAGCAAACAGTAGAAACTTCATGACACAAACTAGGAACACAAAGTGATTCTTGAAAACATTTCAAGATTGTAGTTTCCAGACATTTTATACATAATCTCAGATACAGTATGAAGTATTAGTAGAAACTTCATGACACTTGAAACTTTTCATGAGTGCTTTTCTTACACGAACTAGAAAAACTTGATATGTTTGAAACACCGAATAAAGAGCAACAAGCATGAAAATTCACAAAAGAGAATGATACATTTCATGGCTTTAACATCCAAGGCATCCAATCTTCTTAGGGGCTTGTCCCGTAGCACGATACTTGGCAGCTATCTCCTCTGCTTTAAGAAGTTCTTCTCCTCGTCTCGCTTCAACCATAGCTCTCTTTTCCTCTGCCTCCATGTGAACTGCAGCTACTTTATTTTTAATCTTCTCTGCATATTCTGCCTTCTTTTGCTCTAGTTGTTCCTGCAAAATTTGTAGGAGGTTATCAACAATCACTAAATATTTTCTTAGACAATGATAGATGTCGCATCCAATGCATTACCCATATTTTGGTCAGCATTGAATGACAAAAAACAGTTTCTAAAGTCACAAGCTACTACTAACGTTTCTCGATATGATAAAGGAAATAAGAGTCTTTAGATGACAACCTAGCTTGCAGCCAGAATGTGGAGTATCTCATAAAAGAATATCACAGAATAGTTCAAAATGAGTCATCTTCTACAATATATCATGTTTTGAAGTATTTCCCTGTTCAAAATTATTGAAGAAGCATGTATACTAGATTTCTAGCCAGGTTACCTCAAGTTTCTTCAGTTTAGCTTCAATATTTGCTTTCTTGGTGTTCTCCCATGTTCCAACTGACGAGAGCTTCTTCTCGGCCCTATTCAATAATAAAGTAAGGTTATGACTTAGGTTATTGAATTGGCAAAAGGTTTTCGAGTATAGATATATCAATGTCGGGCACAAAATTTAGAAGATTTCGTACATTTCATTCCATTAGTAAATGAATATCTATACAAATGCTTGCATTTTGAACCAAAAACGGTGGACAAGACCATAAGAACATGTTTAAGATAACAATAAAAATAATAGAAGATGCATAAAGTATCCGCAAACAAATGTTGTGCAACTTCAAAAGTGACGATATCCATATAGGGAATGAAGTTTTTGTCTGTACATTTCTCTTGAATAACACAGCAAGTTAGAAATCTTACTTGTTATTCACCTTGCTTTTTTCACTTTCTTCCCATGCCTTGATATAGGAATTCCTTTTCTCTTCTTCAAGGTGTGCGAGAGCAACATCTGGCGGAAAAAAATGAATGAACTTGTTAACTGCTGAGAGTAAGATGTGACCGACTCTAATAAACACAATCTTTTGCGGTACTTTGTCACATAACAGGATAAGCTCCAACTAAAGTCACCTAAGCCAGCTATTAAATGTAAGCTTCATGAAATATTTCAAGATGCAACATAAGCACATTCCTATATACTTAGAAAAGTTTCAAGAACTAATATTGGTGCATACCTCTGTCGAAGGATCCCTTTGAACTTTTCTTTGTTGAAGAGTCAGGCTCTGCCAAAATCAGTAAATGAGAATATATTCATCAGTCACAGAATATTTCCCTCGACACACAAGAAGTTCATATATGTGCTTTCTCTACAACTTTTCAATCAGAAATTAGTTACAAAAATCACAGAACATCAAGAATGTGATCAGCCAAGTTAACACCAATGATGCCCACAAGACCTAGCTCGAGTGGCAAAAGGTGGAGGATTTGCAGCTTAGGTGGGAGGTTCAAGCCCCACATCACGCAAAGCTAAACCTGATATTTAAGTGGAGAAGGGTAGAGGGGCGGGCCCGTTACCCACCGAGTTTAAAAAACTGTGATTCCGAAGGGCGGGTACAAACAGATTTCTCGGTTATAAAAAAAAAACAAGTTAACACCAATGATCTGTTTGAAATGCATCAAATTTTCATCATAACAAGTATCAGAGATACTATTATCAACTTTCTATTTAAATGAAGGTTAGTGTCCGAATTCGTTTGTGTGCACCTCGATAATTCTATGTGGTACCTGCTACCTCCTACAAGTGCCGGTACCAAGTGACTCTACAGTAGGTATCACCTACCCGCCTTCACTACAATCATTATCTACCAACGATTCCCAGAGTACTAATTCTTTTGATCAAGGTAAACCAGAGTGGCCATCCACTAATTCAATTGATTAAAGTTTAAACAAGAGTGGTCATCCACTAATTAAGCAAATATTGATTTATTTTTGCCAAAAAGTAAAGGAGAGATGTTGGACCTATTAATGATCTTTAAAAAACAGTATACCAAGTCTTTCCAATAATTCAAAAGTTGTTAGGAGTATAAAGGCATCAAAATTAATTGAGTCCAGCCAGATAGGAACAATACTAGAATTAGATACCTCAACTGAAAATAGATCAATTAATAAAGACAAACAAAAAACAACTCCATCTTCAAGAATTTCAAATAAAACGAAAAAATTTACTTGTAAGTTGTAATAATATGTAGTAGCTATATATGGGGTCAAAATTCAAATCTATGATTTCTAAATATTTGACTGCATGTCTGAGGTAAATTAGTTGAGTTAGATGATTTTTCTAGTTTTTTAGAAATTGCAGAGGTATAAACTATATTTTAAAATAAAAAAGTATTAACGTCTAAATATTCTTTGCAAAAAGTATGGCAAAGCGAACTTCTAACTCCAACTACAACTTTGAAAATTCCAAATAAAGTGAAATACTTTTATTTACATATAGGCTATAACTCTATCATTTAATCATATGATTAATCAATGTTATATTTTAACCTTGATATATTACCTAACCAACCATGTTTAACTGATTATGTCTGCTGAAAAATTGACCTAAAACAGAATTGGGCAGTTAAAAAGTTTTATCTTTGGATGCTTTGTGGTCTTCATATTTTCAAACAGAAACTTCAACCTTGTCCTTACTATCAAACTTCTCTAAGCATAATACATAATATTAAGTTAATATAAAGGTTTGAATAAAAAAATTAAAAAAATCTTAATAGTTCAGTTAGTTGGCTACAAGTTAGATTCTCCGCACCGTTTCCAATATAGTGTGTTAGACCAAAGATTTAACAATGAATAAACGAAATAAAAGATATCAATAGGGATATATACTACTTAGGGGATGGGAACCAACGATTAATTACCCTAAAATAATTTATACCACCGTAATTTATCTCAATCAGTATGATATAGTATAAATAATGGAATAAATTATCTCAAACATAACAATCAAACGAAACATCAATTTTTATCGCGGTCATACCAATATTTAACAGGCACAAACATCAACAATTTCGAATAATAACATAAAAAAATTGAAAACCTTCATCCTCTGAATTAAAACAGAGTTTTTGAAATTTAAAGGAATAATTACTTGTTGGGGGAAGAGTAGCAATAGCTTTAGAGTCATCAGATTTGGCCATGGGAGGAGGAGTTGTTGATTCTGGTTGAGGTTGAGCTGCAACTGCAGTAGCTTCTGCCATTGTTATTGTTGAAATTAAATGTATGTATATAGTGAAAGAAGAAGGAATCAATGAGCAAAAAAGCAAAATGGAAATTAGTTGTATAATATCTGGAGATTCTGCTTATGAAACTTTTTGTTGGTTAAAAAGAACGGAAGAGAAGAGTAGTAGCGAAGAAAATTGGATAATTTTGGTATCAAATGGACTCAACGGAGACAGTGTTGGGGACGTGTCCACATGTGGGACTGTCGGCAGACTTCCCTATCAATTTAAATATCTTTAATTTAACGTATTCACGTAGAGCTATTAATATGGGTCGGTTCATTCTATTTGAGTCAATTTATATAAATTTTAAAATTTTATGAATCAAAATTATGGCTAGCCTATTTTTAATGTCAATTGAAAAATGATTGGTCTAGTTTATAAATACATGAGTTACAGGCTGATCGGATCAGTTCTTTTATTTAAAAGTATATTTTTTATACTTTTAAAAATTAAATTGTAATTTAAAATTATTATCATAAATATCAAAAAGATAATATTACATGTTAGTGTTACTTCTTATTAATCAAATTCACAAATAAAATTATTTTTTTAATATTTATTAAGTTTGATTTTAAGTAAAATCATAAATAACTAGATAGAAATATTAACATAATTGTTTTCAGATGATCATAATAAAATACAAAAATTATGACAATATTTCGTAGGTTACGGGCGTACGGCCTATGTAATACATATTTTATAAATGTAATTTGTGTTGAAATTGTAATCTTTCAAACTTTAAACAGATTTTGAGTGTAGACTCTTATTATTTTTAAAACTCTATTTTATTTTAATTTTGTTTGGCTCACGGGCTGGCTCTATCCACGTTTCTTAAGTCTCACAAATCGGCAGACTTATCAGGTTGAGCTAATAAGTCCTTTTTAACATGGGCTTAGAAAATTATAGTCCAGCCCTATGAAATTACGGATTAGGTCAGGCTGGCCCAACGGGTCTAGCCATATTGACGACTCTATCTAATTTTATATTATCCTTACTAAAAATAAATGTAAAAAAATCAATACATAAATAGCACTATTCTTTTAATTTTACCTTGAGAGTTACTATTAGCTTTGAAAAATAAATTTAAACAACATAGAAAAACTAAATACAATAATTAATTTATGTTCATTAGTTAATTCAATTAAAATTCAAATGAATTAATTTATGTTCATTTTATTGAAAATTTAATTTTAAGAGGATATGAAATAAAAATAAAGTAATAAATTTATCTAAATTTCTCTAGAATTAATTACTCAGAGACACTATAGTTTGCAATATTAAATATTTTATCAGATTTTGGTGTATTAAGATACATCCAAATGCATATATCACATGATATGAGTCAAATTCGTTCTAT